AATGTGAAACTGGAGTGGCCTGATAACATCGTACATGCAGTGTTCGACCAGGATAAAATTCAAGACTTTTTGTAACAGAACAGTATCTCTCATTACAGTATGTTATTATTGTAGTTGTATTCGCAAAGATTAGCACAACACATTTTATTTGTTTTACGCATGAAACAATTTTGCTCTTAATTTTTTAGTGCTTAGGAGCATTTTGCTCCTTGCCAAAAAGTTAACTTCCTAGGCTGTATGAATGAATTCTGTCGATAAAAACTTGTATGTGCTGCGAAATGCCCTAAATATTGGGCATAAAACGGGCTGTGAAGCCCATTTCGCCTCTAGAGGGCCAGTCAGATGATGTCATCAGTGAACACTGATAATTGAACCCATTCATGCTAGTACGTCAATCCCATAGAAATGCTACTATGAAAGACCTTGTTAACTGACAACTTAAAAGTTGAAACATGGTGAAATGTGCGTATGAATGACATTACGATTCATGTTATGTTTCTCGAAATCCCAGAAAAAATTCACGTTGCTGTTTGCGAGAAAGCGGCAAAAGAACTAACCTGAAAATGAAGACATGTACAGCGCTCTAGCTATAGTAAATAGTGAGTAAATAAATATTGTTTGAGTTAAAAACTAAATATATTTGAATTTTTGACGACTATTCAACGTTTGTGCAAACCAGAATAAAACATGAGGCCCAGGGGCACCGAAGTCCTTTGGAATTAAGTAGAATTTGGGAAGCAGATATACACGATTTTAACTGGTACTGTTCAAGATTCTGACTATTAATATGTTCAAAATTCAGCAAGTAATCTTCAGATGAATTTAAAGAATCATCTTTGTTACCCAGTACACTGGTAGTTTTAGCACAAGTGCTATCAACTAGCTTTATATTTAGTTCCATTCAATTCATTATCAAGTACATTATCAGGTTCAGTGTCAAGTTTATTATCAGATATATTGCAAACTGAATTATGAGATTTATTCGTAAGGGTTCTACCCTCAATTTTGCCTTTGGGACTGTTTCCTCATTAATTGGGCGACTGTTTTTTTATGAGGGCAGTCTCCTCAGCTTGTTTGGTCAATCTGCATGTTCTCTGAAAAAAAGAAGAAACACAAACAGGTTTAATGAAAGCACCATGTCATTCATACCTACAATGAATTTGTAGCACATAA